CCTGCTAACTTTCTTAGACCAGGGAAATGCAAGGTGTCTTGTGCTTCCCCTTCTTACCTTCCTGATGCCTTCAGAAGGGTTGGAGACACAGTTATCAGCCCCATTGTTCTTGCTGATGGTCTTCCAAAGCTCAGCAAATGTGCTGTCCTGTTCCAAGGGATTGGTCCCCTTGGCTCTAAAGTATTCATATACAGCTGAGTCTCTGACTGTGCCATAAGATATATCCATTTGTTTGGACAGATCCTGAAATGTTCTGAAAGGCAGAAAAGCATCAAGACATTAGTAATGGGAGACATGCAACTGCAATTTCCATTGGCTAATTGAGCAGCTTTCTACTGTATATCTGAAGAGATGTGTAGCACCTAGCATCTTTTAGCACTCATGGAAGCCAATTGGACACTCTGGTTCCATTGCTTTACAAGTTCTGTCCAGAGATCTCCCTTTCTTAGGGAAATGGAATAGCTAAGAGCTCAACCACAAGGCCTTCGAAGCTCTTGCATGACTCAGATATGAACAGGGAAATACTAAAATGGCAACAGATAGATTGAGATATTGAAGGAAACCTAATGGTAATGACCACTGCTTTATAAATCCTCCATCTATTATTCTGTTCAAGGATTACCTATAATCTGCCTTGATGTCTTCCCTGCCAATCTCAATGCAAACGAACTTCTTTTTACTCTCATCCTTCAAAACTCCATCTTCTTATTGCCCAAGAAATATCTGATTTAGACTATCTTCTGAGTTTTACATGCAGGGATAATGCTGATTTATAGGATACTGTCTTGTTCACTGGTCATTTCCTATCTGGATGGCAGGTCTCAATTGAATTGGAAGCTCTTTGTGGGTAGACATTACCTTTCCCTAGTGTTCTCAATAGCAACTAGCACAATACTGAATTCATATACTAGGAGTTCATGAATAGAACCAAATTAGGGATGTTTTCACTAGGAGTGAAAAGATCACAAGACTTTAGAATCAGATTTAGAAGAGATGTTAGAAGCCATCTAATCGAATCTCCAAATTATATAGATGTGGAAACTGAGGCCCAGAGAGTTTGAATGAATTGCCTGAATGAATGGGCCAGCTGGGGTACAATGAAAATAAAAGTCTTTGCTTGATGTGAGTGGGCAATCTGATCTGGTGGGTTGGAAGAAAAGTAAGTCCTGTTTGATTGCACCATAGTCACTGGTCCTAATGGGTGACTTAGGGGAAATTAAACTTCATGTAACTTCAGAATGATAGAAGATTTAGCACTGGGGCATGAAGACATGGTAACTATGGTATCAAACCTAAATTCCAGAGAGGAAGCAATCTCATCCCCTAGATCAAAGCACAGAATCCTGGATCAAAGCCCTGTTCACTCCAATCTAGTTATGGCTGAATTCACAAAGTGCATTTTGATCAACTGCGCAATATGTCTACTCACATGAGATGAAGTCACACAATTCCTATCTATAGGAATCCAGGAGATCTATGTTTCCATGGAGTCAAAAGAATTGACTCTGTTTTGTCACTCGATCTCCCATTAATAGTTTCTACCTGAAGTGTACTTATTCCTAGTTGCAGCTCTACCTTGAGTCCCAGAATTACACTGTGGAGCACCATAGTGGAAACCACAGAACCTGCCTACAAAGAGCTTGAAGTATATATCTATTTTCCTATAAATTAATAACAATGGTAATTATGATAATGATATTAGACACACATAGAGTACTATAAGGTTTTCCAAATATTCTGAATACACTTTTTCATTTGTACAAGCATCCAGATGTCTCATCTGTCACTTCTATATACATCAACCATATCTATTGGCATCCATTTTCATGCATCATAGATGGAATGAAACAAATGAGGAAATAATGAATTGGACGAAGCTGTCTCTTTAATGAGCGTTCATTATTTTCTGTATAATTGGAGCACAGGGTTTCTTTCCTTCCAAGACTCCCAGATTTGTGACTGGTGCCATTTTCCTGCAATGTAAGGGGGTAAAACCTATTACTTTTTCCTCCCACCCTTGCTATTTTTTATCCTGCTAATACAAACAAACACCAGGCTCCTGATGAATGGAAAACATCAGGATGAATTACACAGTTGAGTCAAATCCTGAAAGGCTTTAAATTGCTGCCATTTCCTCTGGTAGGAAATGCATTCATAACTGCCTGTGAGCCCCAGTGGAGGGCTTTTTCATTCCCTGCATTTGGAATAACGGGGTCCATTTCCCAACTACTCTGGTTATTTCATTTCTGTGGGTCAGAGGAGAGGTTTCCCTGTGCAGTGCTAGGAACCCCAATGTCTATGGCTTCGAGGCCACTGCTCTCCTGGTATATTTCAACACTGGAATGCTTGAGAACCACCAGCTTCTTCCACATACTTGCCTTCAGGTTTCATACCTTAGTTTCCTCCATCCCTCTTTTTCAGGTAACAGCTTTCCTCTCTATATTTATGCAAAAAATATTCTTTGGAGAGTGGGTAGGAGGCTTCTTTCTTCTCCCTACATGTCTCCATCTACAGATTAGCCAGTGCTAGCCTGAGCTGCTGCAGCAAACTCAGCTGGGCACCTCTCTTAAATCCAATCTCTAAGCAACAGCCATGGCACAGTGAATGCCTCCCTGATGAGACTGCCATGGTGGGCAAACAATGTCTAACTAGATGTTTTGTCTGCAGTAATAAAATCTATATTTTAGCTTGTATCTTTTCGATATCCCATTAAGCCTTATTAATATTTGTCATATCCAGGCACGTATACAATATATCCTCAGGTTCATTCTTCATCTGAAACTCTCCCTCTTACTCCCTTCACTCCCATCCCAATCATTCATTTTTCACATTTTCCTTTGTTTTCTATGTCTGTTTTATTTACTTTTCATTTCTACTACCAACTTGTGCAAAAGCCCAAATTGCCATTCATAACATGTGGTTGAAAAAAAAAGTTTCAATTGAGATAAAATAAATATATAAAATAAATAAATACATTAAATAAACAAGATAAAAAGCTCAATCTGATATTGTTACTTTTCTTTACTTAAGATGAATGAATGAGAAATAATTCATTAAGTGAATCAGATACAAATATTGTGCTGTGCTCTGAGTAAACAAATTGAATAGCAAGATAATTCCTGCCCTCAGGCAGCTCACATTCTACAGAGTCAATTCGTATAGGAAAAGTCTGCTGCAAGTCAAATGAAAAAGATTTTGGCTATCTGAGAGGAGGTGGTGTTCAAGATTGTTAGGTCCATCTGATACATGCTGCCTCTTCCTCAGAAGTAAGCTGGTCCAACTCCATCATTTTTCAGATGGAGAAATTGAGGCCCAGGGAGGTTAAGGAATTTGTCCAAGATGACACAGGTAATAAGTGACTGAGGTGAGTTGAGATGAAGGCTGTTTCCCCCACTTTGCTGCCTGCATGTCTCACCATTACTTGTCATAAGATGCCACATTCCAAGTTTGCATGAACTTGTCTGACTCCCACCCTTTCAATTTAACACCCCAAGCTTTCTCTTTTCCCCAAAGCAATTAGGCCTACTTTTCTCTTTTACCATAGTCATCTCTTCTGGAAAAAAAAATCAAGTTTCCTCTCTGAGCACATTAAAAGAAAGATAGGAACTGATATAATTCTACCCTTCCTTTCCATTGTTTCCCCATCCCCAATAAATCTATTTCAGTATTTTCTAAATATATTCACAACAAAATAGATAGATGGTTTTATATCATGATATAAATCAATGCAAAATATTTATAAATACATTTTTGCAAGTCAAGGAAGTAGTCGCATGAGTGATGGAGATAAATAGACTTGTAACAGGAAAGAAATCAATATTCAATATATGTAAAGAAGGTTTCACCAACTAGTAAGATGCTGTAATTATGTGCCTTATAAATCTAAGTCATAAACTCCTATTACTCTCTCTTAAGGAGAAAAGAAAGAGGTCGAGCAGCTTCAAAAACATGGGAATTAGAGGTCCAATTATCCCTCCTAATGTGATTATGTTATAAAGAAAGACCACAAATACTTTCCTAATTAGCAGAATATTCTCTTTACACCAGCATTCTTTCTTTTTTCCTTAGTGTCTGACTCCAAAAGAGATGTCCTGGTACAAATTGGCCCCAATCTCCACTGGAGAAGCTCCATAGCCAATATCCTGGGTCTCCTGGATGCTAATATTAGGCAGTGAGGAAAAGTGGGAAGAGCACCATTTTGGGCACTAGAGGATTTATCTGGGTAATCTTGGTAAGTCATCTAACATTTTTGAGCCTCACGTTCTTCAACTGTAAAATGTTGGTATTGAACTAGATGGCATCTATTTACTTATCATCCTAAACCAGTGATCTTAATGTTCTTCCATCAAATTCTTCCCTGCCCCTTATGCCCAAAGATTCTTCTCTTCTCGTGAAAGTAGCTCCTCCTCTGTTCTTCTCTCAGGTTTCTTTTTTTCCTGGGAAACATGGAAAACCTTAAATGTTGTAAAATGTAAACAGTAGTCAAAGGGGGCAAAGACATGGAATGTGAACGACTGGTTTGTGTTCTCATGTTTTTCCTTAATTCATTTAAGTCTTAGGCAAGGAGTAGGAAGAATGCTTGTGATAGGCTGTTTAGCATCTTCCCTTTCCCATGATTATCTCAGGGGAAGCTCTTCTGAAATGCCAGCAAATACCACTGGAAATGGAGCCTTCCTTGATTTTAGAAATGGTGGTCTGGACTAGACACAGATTAAAAAGGTCACAGAAAAACACAGACTCACAGAATCTCAGAGTTTGAAGCAATCCAATAGATCGTAAGCATACCAAGGATAGGTATCATTTCTTTTTTATTATTTGTGGCCATCTCACTTGGCATCATGCCTGGTATGTATTAGATGGTCATTATAAGCTTATTGATTAACTGTCAATTGATTTCAATGTGGCAGTGGAAGAAGAGGGCTGGCTGGAAAGTCAGAAGATGTAGATTCAAATCCAGGCTCCATTTTACCAAGGGCAATTCATTTAGTATATAACCTCTCCATGCTTCCATTTCCTACTCTACAAAAAAATAATATTACTAGATGATGTTGAATATCCCTTTTAGCCTACTGGCTACAAATCATAGGCTTCTAGGTTAAAAAAAAAAGCGTTCAACTTGAACCTGAGCAGGAGCATACTTTACAACATTACACACAATCATCTGTCTTCCACTTGACGAAATTTCAGTGACGAGGAATTCACTCCCTCATGAAGCAGCCCATTTCTCATGATTAACCTCCTTTCAAAATATTC